CAGAAATATATCCAAATTTAGCAAAAACTCATTTTTCATTTTCGGGGGAGTTTCCTCCCTTTCTATTGCAAAGGCCCCATATAATTACCGAAATCTCCTCAATGATACTTTGATCGTCTTCGTCATCAATAATATCCTTTGATTCAAAAAAATTTTTCAACTTGTGAGGATGTTTTTTGAACCTAAAAATGAAAGGTTAGTTATGGTATGGCCAAAAAAGAATAATAAAATTAGTTTGCAGAAGATATATTTAGAAGAATTATTTTATCACAACAATTCTATTCAGAGGGGAACACAAATGGGAGGTTTTCTATTAAAATCGAGTTACAAATATAGTAAATCATATGATCCGTAATGTGTTTTAAATAGCAAACCTCCCAAATGATTGTTTGTGCTGACGTAATTGTCTTCAGTATTCGGCACATACCCTTGCTTTATCTAAGGCCCTTTTAAAAATCTCGAGTAGTATCCAGATGTATAATTTGCTTTAAGTACTTCTAATTCTTTTATGTATTGAGAGTACACTTTTTCTTTATTGAACGCCTACATTCCGCCAGAAAAATTTGTTGAATTGAACAAGCGATTTTAATTTGTTCAGAGCGTATACAATAAGTTGAAACAAAAGGCAATTTCCATACCTGTTCTGTTCTGTTACGATGTTTTAAGTAACTAAGATAAGTTGGTTTAGTGATCTTTAGCCAATACTCAAGATTTGGCAATAGGTTTTCGCCACTAGATGAGTCTAACCATTCTCTCTTGATTCTCATTTTCGAAAATAATTAGTAAAAAATAGTTTGTTTAAATAGTTATTCAGGAGGTCTTACGATTAACAGAATCAGGAAAAAGCAACTTTACTATTTCATTATGGTTCAACACAATTATAGTAAGTCATTATTGGCGTCATGTTTTCATGCTTTGTGCAGCCACATTAATGTCGCAACCTACCAAATCCACAGCCTAAGCCGATCCTCTATAATAAGTAATCAAAAAAAAAAAAAAGCCAACCTGCGGTCATCAAAACTGAAGGATGAATCATAATGAAACACGATGCAAGCCCGATTGTATTACATACGGGCTAAGATGGTACGTATATTGGCTGTTTCTGTGGCAAAGTTAAAAATTGATTCTAAGCCGTAAAGGAAAATTGGTTACGGTATCTAATGAAAATACATGTTACACAATCACATTTTTTAGGTTATCTATTTTTTTATAATGCGTTTTATTCGTGATGCTTTAGCTATTGTTCAAAATTAGTGGATAATCTAACTAAAAACCTTTTTGTTTGACAAGATAAAAATAAATTTGTAAATTTTGCGAATGGTATGAAACACCATAAATAGAAAATATAGTATTTTTTTTCGGGATCGACTAAAATCGTAAGCTATTAAAATCAGGTTACGGAACCCCTCCAACCAAAATGAGATTTTTGGTTCATATTATATGAACTTTATTTGGTTGAATTTTTATAGTCGATTATCTTATTAACAATCTTTATTTGTGTGAATGACAATTGAATCCTAATGTAATTACAATAAATAATGTTAATAATACATTATAATAAAGAAATCGGTTAGCTTATTGTTAAACATATTTATTTAAATTTTGAATTACTCAATTGCTTCTTAATCTATAATGTCAGTAGTTGAGGATAATGTTGTTAATAGAATGATTTTAACTGCTTTTATAAAAAGCGCTATATTTCATTTGAAGAGGCTGAAAACGGTTCTATTGGCGTTGAAAACTTCATTGGAAAAGGATGGCGGAGAAATTTCTTTAATACTAATATTCTCCTCTTTGTATATTCTTTAAAAATAGAGCATATTTGAAAAGATTTAGGAGTACCACACGCCCAGCTTACTCTGAGCAAAATTATAAGTCAAGAATTATGTCTCGCTATACATATTTAGTTCTTTAACGTTAATAAAATGTCTCGTTAATTTTACGAGATATTAAATTGTAAGATTGTATCACTAATCTTTGTTTATACTACTAACATTTAAGACAAATTTTGTTTTTGAAATTATTCCATTATGATTGCCGACTACGCCGCTTTTATTTTCCTTGGAATTTATTTTATTGAATAATCCAGTTACAATGCAAATTGAATTTTTTTCATTGGCTAATCATACATTAATTTGTCTTTTTATAATTGTATAAAGAAATAAAAGAAAAATAATCATGATAATAAATTCACATAACTTGAAAGGACCTCAAATCATGTTAATTGTAACGAACTAAATGATTTGAGATTTGTAATTTTACTATAATATATTGTTAAACATAATTCCAAAAAACAAAAGAAATTAAATTAAATTGTATTAATATTGTTACACAAAATATTAATTACAAATTTAAAAATTTATAAAAATTCTACTTAATGATATCAGCTGTAACAATTCTGGAGTTGAATCAATAATTCGTTGAACCTCTTCAGTCGACTCAACCGTCGACTGAGTCATGACTTATTTGAAATTAAAACCTAATTTTATTTTTAACAACAAAAAAATGTACATAAATTAAAAGGCATAGTAAAATTCATTTCTGAAATTGTAAATTATATAATATGAACCAAACCTTTCAGTACCGATTTTGTAATCACTAGAAAAATTAGCAGAAGCGCCATCTGAAATTGAGATTTGATCAGTAATTTTAGTTAGCAATTAAAAAATTATTTTTATTATTTTAATTACATTTTGTTCTCCGACCGTGACCAAAATGAATTTAGCCAAAATGTCGTTAGGACAAATTGTGCACATGTCAAACCTCCCTCTAGGAGTACTGGCCTCTGACAAATTAGTCTTTACCAAAAATTAAATATATAAATAAAGGGTTTTCTTGGGGAAATAGATATGATTTTTCTTAGTTTTAATTAGCATTAGTATTTTGTAACGTTTTGATTTAATAAACGGATTTTTAAGTGAGGCTACACTTGATTAATTTATAATATTTAACTAAGTTAATACATTCTGCATACATCATTTTGTTTATAAATATAAACGTAAAGACAACAATAACTATTTTAACAAACACGATAATTTTTTTACTACAGATAACTTATTTATCTCTTTAATTCAAATTAAGAAATACGTAGATTATATGTAGATTAAAAAAAAAATATATAATAATTTAATGAAAAAAATGCTCAATTAAAAACAACTTTAATACAAGCTCTAGTTCAATTAGTTCATTAGCTAGAAAGTTTAATAAAGTTCATATTTTCAAAGGGTGCCTGAACCAAATGTTACTAATAAGATTTTTATTTATTCTATTTGTAATTAGAATTAAATATTAAATTTTACTACTAATTAATAGAAGAACAAAAAAAAAATATTATTATAATAAGAATTGATCTTAATATATTTTTAATTAATTATTTAAACCCAAAGTTTTCTGCAAAGATCAAACTGAACGGAGTGGAATAAATCTGCAAAGAAATTTAGTAAGATATTTATTTATTTTTTAATTTGTTAATACTATTTAATAACTTATAGAATTTAATCTTACAGATGAAAATAGTGAAGGAGAAGTAGGGTTGGATCTGTCCAAAAAAGACCAGTCTTTCATCTTTATTTGGACCTAATTTATACTATTTTCATTCTGGACCAATTCATAAGTCCGGTCCTTGAGCGGTTTATTATAACATATTGCATATATTAGAGATTAAAGGCGCAGTAATCGCAGTAATCGTATTATTAAATTTATTAAATTATTTTTAATATTCAAATAAATGGATTATTAAAAATGTATATTTCAGATGAAATGTGGATTTTTGAATTTTTAACACATTCTGCACATTCATAGTTTGATCAGACTTTATAATAATGTAAAGAAATTGTAATGAAATGATAGTGAGGAATATATAACTAAATTAATAATTAATAGAAGATGACATATATAATTTCATTCGGGAGATCAACTTACATTAATTTGTCATTATCTTTTTTGATTCATAAATTAATTCTTATTCAAATATTTTTAAAATATTTATTTTTAGCGACTCCAACTGCAACCTTTCGAATTATAGTTACAATTATTTACAGTATCTTATCTTTATTGCTTTAAAAAATATTGTATACGATCCTTCACCCTGGCTTCTTTATCAGCACTTCACAAATTTAGTTATAGTGAATAAATATCGTGTTGATATTACTCTTCATATATAGTTGCGGTAACAATGCTGACCAATCCAGAATTTGCTTATTTCTTAAGATTATGGAGGTTTCAAAAATTTAATAATCGAAACTATATTGGCCAAATTGAAAAATTTTCAAGAATTTATTCCTAAATGAAATAAATGTAACTTTTATCATCTATTCAGAACAGTACTTTTTGAAAAAAAAAAAAAATATATTTTTGCTCATCGAAAATCGTATCATTTAAGTCAAAAAACACCTGGTGTTACAAACCATCTTTTTATTTCACAAAGTTGCGCTGATTGGTTAAATTTTAAAATTGATTTAGCAACAAAAAGCTTGCACAAGCGGGTACTTTATTCTTTTCATGTTTTTTTTTCAGCAAGCTTATAGCCAGCGAGTTATTGTATTACCTCTTATAATATAAATTCTTTTAGTAAATAAAAAATGTCAGACTGTACTGTATATTGTAATTAGTAATGAATATAGGGACTTAAGTTTTAAAACTTACCAAAGAATATTCAATAAGCAACCTTTAAACTCTTAATTATGCTATTTATTTTTTCCCACCAAATGAAGAATACAACATCAGCCAAGACCTAACATTGGACAGATGTTTTCCCATCTTTAGTAGATGGAGATGGTCATAACAATTTCAAAACCACTTTCGCATTACTCTTGTGGTTGCTAAAGCATTTTTTTTAGTTTAAAATCGATAGAAAAGAGCACTGATAGCCATCTTTATTTCAATTGCTTGTGCACCATCTCACTATCTAATAACATTGAGAAGGTGCGGTTTCGTTCATACGATTATAAGATTATGAATTATTGAAATCAATTATGAATTCTTCCTAACTAGATTGAAATGTGTTTGAGCCGACAGTACGGTCACAAATAATGAATTCTAAAATATAATAATTTATTTAACAACCAAAAATAAATTTTTTTTTTTTTTACAAATTGGCTTTTTTTTCAGCACTCATCCCATATGTTAAAAATCTTATTGAAAATCTAATTTGCCCGAAACTTTATCTTGTCTTGATGTTAGAAATGCCGTTTCAACAAGCTTTAAAAATTCAGTTTTGATCTTAAATTGGAATTGGACAGTAACACAACAAAATGGTATTTAATAGACCTTTATAATGCTTACTCACAAATTTCTCTCGAATTCCACTTTTATATTGGAAGACTTTTTAAGTTAAACTGATTCTCAAAGATTTAAAGTTATTTAGGGTATATTGTTAAAAAATATTTTGAAGCTTAGAGCAGTTTAAAAGTAGTTATAACGATCATATAATTCATTGACTCTAATTTAAGAACCCTTTCTAATTTAGGATAAGTTCACGTTTTCTATGAAAAAAATATGTTTAGAAACTATAAAAATAAATGGACTAGGCATTATTCAATACCACAAATTATCGACTCTACTCTCATTCACAAGTTCCAATTTCAAGTGTCCTTAATCACCTTATAGAACCATCATTGGACTATACTTAAATAATTTGTTTTTATAATTTTACGTGTAATTTTAATATATTTATATAAAAAATTTTGATCGAGTTTATAGCACAAAAATTGTACCGGAATTTTTTTCGAAACATGATACGTTGTTCAGTATGATTTTTCGGGAAAGT